GTTATCCAGTGGTTTGTCAGATACAATTCAGAGCAACTAATTAAGATGATGCTATCAGCATTGTCTTGCAAATCAATCACAAATGATTAAAGTGGTGGGATATTTTGGTCACAATCTCTTCTGTGTGGTTCTGTGGTGGTGAACCTAACTCTGGAAGCTAAGCACAAATGCCATAGGAATAAAGATGCATTTGATTTGGAGTTTGTTTTTTTATTTTTTTTGTAATGTCTCTGGAAATATATCCCCTCTTTAATAAACAGTCCATCCCTACAGATGGATTTGACTTCATCTTTCATTTCATAAGCAGAGACCAGGAATCAGCCCCATATAGGAAACCTGAAACCCAGCTACTAAAGAAAATAGAGGTATCAAAGTAAATGGAATTAAAAATAAATTGTCAGCTTACTTGACAATATTTGTGAAGTCAGGTTTAATCTACCACTTAATCTAAAGGCAAATAAGTGAAGGACATTTTTTTCTCCACAGCTTTAAGACAGAGCTAACTATTTTGTGCTTTAGTGTGGCATGCATCTTGCTAGTTTACTTCCACAGTTAATATCTGCTGCTATCACAGATTTGTCTTGAAAAAAAAGAAAACATTGAAAACAAAGTTTACTCAAAGTGGGGACAATTTGATTCAATTTTTCTAGTAAAACTTCAGAATTGTTTCTCACTCCCTATTGTTTTTCAAAGGTGTATATAATTAGTTTTCTTTGTATTGCATATTTGTATATTGTTTCCTCTTCTTTATGCTCTTCTCTGCTATGTTTATATTTATGTAACAGGTGCAAACTGAGCATATAATGGAGTGAAAAACACAGTAATAAACAATAATATCTTGGCTCAGCCCCTCCATCTAGGTTGCTAGAAATTTATCTTGCCCTATTCACTCTCATTATAAAGAACATTTTGCAACTTTGCAAAGGGATATTGGAATGAAAACACACACATACACACACACACACAGACAGTATTCCCAAGGCCACAGATTTGTAATTCTTGCAGGAGGCAATGTTTCTCAGCATCTATTCAATAAACAACTCTCTGTGGGGTAGTTAATATCCAGAGGAATATGGCATACAGTGATGAAAGAGTTGAAGCAAACACTTGGATTCTACCTTCATGTTGACCCCAGTGCCAACATCGCCTATTTACTGTGCACCTACCACTGCTATATGTTCTAGCTACTTTTATACTGAAGATGTTTTCTATTTTCTGTCACAGTATTGTCTCTGTAACTCAGCTCTCCTAAGAGTCTTTGTTATTCAGCACAACAAAATCTCACTGTGCGCGTGCTGCGGAGACCCATCCTGTGATTCTATACAGCACCATTCACCCAAATCACGTCGTCGTTTTCAGCACATTAACCCTGACCCTATTGCCTTGCTGTATCATGTATCCACCCTGGATTGTGAATAGCAGGCAAATCAACCTTCTCAATCACTTCCTCTGCTACACCATTCTTTTTAAAATTCCCTAATAAATTTCAGTAAATTTCTTTCACATTCTTCTGTCTTTCCCTTATAGTCTTCCTCCCTTCCTGTTTCATGTCATTTTTTATAACTTGCCAATTTTATTTTGGAAGTAAGAGAATGACCTGAAAATAGTACTGACTTCTCCTGTTCAGTCACTCAGTTGTGTCTGACTATTTGCAACTCCATGGACTGCAGCATGCCAGGCTTTCCTGTCCTTCACTATCTTCCAGAGGTTGCTCAAACTCATGTCCATTTAGTCAGTGACGCCATCCAACTGTCTCATTCTCTATCAGCCCCTTCTCCTTCTGCCCTCAGTCAGCCTTTTCCAGTGAGTCAGCTCTTCGCATCAGGTGGCCAAAGTATTGGAGCTTCAGCTTCAGCATCAGTCTTTCCAGTGAATAATCAGGGTTGATTTCCTTTAGAATTGACTGGTTTGATCTCCTTGCTGTCCAAAGGACCCTCAAGAGTTTTCTCCAGCACCACAGTTTGAAAGCATCAATTCTTCAGTGTTCAGCCTTTATGATTCATGTCTCACATCTGTTCATGACTACTAGAAAAACTGACTTATCTATTTATATGTAAATTATCTTAGGTGTATCAATAGTGGATTGTATTTTTTTAATTAATAAGAAAGTATCTCCTAGGTCTAAAATGAAAAGAGCACATAATTAGGTTTGTATTCAATCATAATGCTTTAATGAATGAAGGGAAAAAATAAAATAAAAATTAACCTCTATTTCTTATACATATACTATTTACTTAAACTGAAATATATTCTCTACATGTCAACCTACCCAAAATATAAAATCCTATCCAAATTTCATTTTCATAACACTTGTATGTCTTAAAGACAAGGGTATTCATTTAGTAAAAATCAAATGGAAGAAAGAATTTAGAAATTTTTCATGTTCTATGAAACTTCTATAACATTGAAAAGTGATTTACATGTTAGCATTTTCAAGATGCTGATGATTGATTTAATTTTGGGCTTGACTCTTAAAACTGAAATTACCAAGCTAAATTTAAATGTTGTAATCATTTTTCCTGCAGCCGTAGAATACACTCCTCTCTTTGGAAAATATTGTAAGGAGCAATGTACTGTTTATTTACAGGTCTCCCTTGCGTTTATAATATTACTTCTTTTAAGTGGAAATAGCTCCATGGGAGATACCTTCATTGTCAAGTGTACATGATGAATACAGAAAAACCCCAGTTTGGCATTTTAAGCTAGTCGTGTTCTTTCAAGTTTGCTTTGGTGTAGAGCGTGGTCTCTGAGCAAATCCCCCAGTGTCTCCCAGTACTTTTGTCACAGTTTGTTTCATGTTTATTTTCCCCAAGTCAGTGTCATTGGATGGTTTTGATCATAAACCAGCATCTGCTAATATTTCACACATATTTAAATTGCATAAGGACCCCAAGTCCCTAGGGGATAGCACAGAATTCTTTCTCTCAGCCCTTTTCCCACATACTCTGCCACAGTTCAGGAATGTCCTGTTGCAAGCAGAGCCTTGTCCCTCTGCCCCTATGGGGTGCACTGCACACTCAAACATCATTCAGAGGACCAGATGTCTTGATGAATTTCAGTCTGAACCTTGGACTGACCACCTTTTGTCTCCAGATGAGAAAACTCTTCAGACTGTTAACATCCACAGGCAAGAAGGACTGAGCTGGGCAAATCAACATTTCACCCACTACTCTAGTAATGCCATGTGCTACCCTAGCAATGCCAAGGATCCAGTATTGAGGACAGTAAATTGTGAATGAATTATTACAAGCTGGCAATGAATGTGTATTTTTCACATGGGAAACAAATATGAGAGTCTAAGAATAGGAAAATGTGAGAAAATCTTTGTCCATTTTTGTAAGAACCTTTGTATAAAGGAATTCTTTGAGTGTTAAAAAGATAATACTGATGCATTTTAATTAAAAAATTCCGATTCTTTTTTTGTTTGCTGCTAGAGTAATTTTTACTTCATTTCTGTTGTGGCTCTTTTCTCACATATTTATAGAGAAATATATATATATATGTATATATTTTATCATATTTCTAGAAATACCAGTTATCTAATAATTGAAAAAGACACCCATATCTCTCTCTCTCTCTCTCCCCCCCCCTCTTTTTAGTCTTTGATATGTCTGAAAATCTTTCAAAACTGTACACTTTTGTAACATGTATCCTTCTGTATGATCATACAGTCACCCCTGTTTCTATTTTGTATAACAGTGAGCTGCATTATAAGGTAAATCTGACAAGCTCTAGGTACTTCAGTTGGTTTACATCTTATTTGAAAATGTTGGAAATGGAAACAGTAAAAATATAAAGCAATACCTGTGAAATTCTCAGAGCTATATTTTTCAATTTGAATAATGTACATACTGGAACATAGGTCATTTAAACAAAACACATTTATCATATTCTAATATGGATATCAACCCATTCTTTAAACATCTCTACAGTTAAAATTCTATAAAACCAAGTCAACAGGTAACTGTCTTAGTTGATTGTCTGATGACTACTAACAGTACTCGGTCTCATATTGCTTAATAGCTAACAGGGGCTACATTCTGTGGAGCAATCGATTCCAATATACTGTAATAAATGCTATGATAAAAGAGGTACAGATGCTACTGAAGCAGAATTGAACAATGATGAAGTGTTGAAACAACAGCTTTAAATGGCAGGAATAGAAAGTGAGTATCATGAAAAAAGAAAGAATTTCATTCAAAGAGGATAACATATGTGATGACTAGGAGTCTGGAGAGAAAGAATATGATATTTAAGAAACTGAAGATATGCTTAACTTTATCATGAAGTTTGATGTAGCTGTGGTAAATGACAAAAGAGGAAAAGGTTAAGAGGGTCCAATTAGGAAGAATCAAACTATGAGAAAGCATTGGGGAACTTTATATTGAGGGCAATGGAGAACTACTAAAGAACTATAAGTGAATTAACTCTGGCTCTAGGAGGAATAAATTGGAAGGAGACTGGTTCAGTGCATAACATTCAGGCACATATTGAAATAATTTGATTGAGAGATGTTTTCTGAACTAAATAAGAGCATTGGTGATGGATTTTCAATCAAAAGAAAAAAATTGAAATTAATTTATAACTTACTTGATTTCTTACCTTTAAATATAGACTATGAAAAGAGCACAGACACCCCCAAACATTTCTTAAAAGTCCTCTGTTTGCTTCTAAATTTATAACCTCTATTCCTTCCGATTCTCTAACACAACCAAACTCAAAGTGAGGTTCATTGACCTCTAGGGCTCCCCCAGGACATTTCTGGAAATTCACAAGATCAAATCTAATTTCATATTATTAAGATGTTATTTTTTCCCTATTGTGTTGGTCTTTTTACTAGTGGTGCAAAAGCAATGTTCGGTAAAACCCTTGATGGTTTTGCTATAGTCACCTGCGGTCATTATATTCCTCACTTGCAAAAGAAACCTTTAAAAGTCAGTATATTACTAATTTTAATAATTAGTAATTTAATTAGTAATTTCAACCCTTGGGTACTCATCTTTTTAATAATCTTGTGACCAGATGGGAGGAGTACAAAAAGAACTTGCACTCCATGTAAATTGTCTCAGGGAGGGGAGGGAGAAGGGGAAAAAACGTGTGGCTGTCTTCAGTTGGGAGCTGAACTAGACAGTTTTTTCTTAGAGCTTCATCTTTACCTGAAAGAGCAAGATAGACAAACTTGTGATTGTTCGGATTTGGTTGTCTGGCTGACATATCAAAATATGAATAAAATGAACCCTTCATGTGAAGAAAAACTACTGACAATATTTGTTATCAATAATAAAATTCACATTTTCTGGTGAAAACCGAAAAGTTGGATAACTCATGTCTGTCACTGTAAGATTGACATCTAATAAAGACATTCTTGATGGGACTGGAATATTTTTTAAGTATGACTTTTTTATTTAGTATAATGAAATATGTCAACATTTGGAAAATCTGTCTCAGTGAATTAATGTTTTCTAAATGACCTAGATATGATTTTACAAACTTAGATGTAGATAACAGATCCATTCAAAGTGAAAGCTGAGCCAATGGATTTTATTTTATTTATTTATTATTATTATTTTTTTATTAGTTGGAGGCTAATTACTTTACAATATTGTAGTGGTTTTTGTCATACATTGACAAGAATCAGCCATGGTTTTACATGTATTCCCCATCCCGATTTTAATGTTATAGAGTCCATTTCACTGATGGGTGTGTTCATTTGCTAGGGCTTCCATAAGTAATATCACAAACAGGATGCCTTAAGCCACAGGAATTTGTTTTCTCAAAGTTCCGACCATTGTTTGTCCAACCACGATCAAGGTGCCAGCAGATTTGATCTCTCCTGAGCCTTCTTTCCTTGACTGTTAAAGCTGTTGAACTACTATTCCCTTTCTCAAATATATATATATGTATATATATATATATATTTGTTTTTGTGAAGCCAGATTTTCTTCACATACTTCAAACAAAACAGAGTATCATAAGAGGTTGAATGCATATATCCAGCTGCCTATATTAAGCCACACATTTGAAAAATGTACAGTAATGCCTCTCTCCCACTGATTGTTTACTTTCAAAGATATTCATCATAAAAACATGCTTTATAAATATCCAATGGAATTTTTTCTATTATTGTTAATGAATCAATAATTTTTATCTTAATATCTAGCATGATTAATATCTATAACCACAATGCACATAAACAAAAGTTGTTTTGGGTCCTCATTACTTTTTAAGTGTCTGAAGGGTTATTTGGACCAAAAGTTTAACATCTACAGCTTTAGAATATCAGCATAGATGTTAGCTATGAGACTTTAGGACTTCTGGTTACCCTGAAGATGATTCATCAAAGTCAAAGAACAAGTAAGAAGAAATCAGAAACTGATTTAAAAAAAAAAAAAATTTGCCTGAGAAATACCTGTATTTAAAGGTCAGGTAGAGAAGAATGAGCTGGTAAAGAATGAAAGGAAGACCTACATTTTGTGAGGTGCTATACTGAGATCTAGGTACACTGAAATGAGCTTACAGTTCAGTGGAAAAAGGGGGAAACAATTTTGGGGGGAGAAGGACCAGGAAAACTGGTTTTAATGAGGGAGAGGTGGGTATCGATTACTGCAGAGAATGCATTTAGCTAAGGACAAAAATTCCCATGGAGTCGAGGGCATTGGTCATGGTGAGCTTGTTGAAAACAGAGTTAGTGGGTGTGGAATGGTTGCACAACCCTGAGGATTCTGCCTTTTTAGCATCAAAAAAATGGGTCATCATCCAGTCCTCTGTCAGATGAGAAAGAACTGTCCAGTCTTTGAGGGAAGGAAAGTTTCTGGGTTAATCCACCTCATCATTAGTGTTTGGTGCCTATCAGCCTACGTTTCTCTCACTTTAATCACCACTCCCTCTCTCTCTTTTTCTTAAGCACACACACACACACACAGTCCTCCATTCACAACTGTTCCTGAGACCTTAGATTAGGATGCAGTGGTAGGAGGGTTATTACTTCATTCAACAGCTTAAGTCCCTGTTGATCAGTTCTAATTCCTAAAGCCCATGGCCTCAGGATGAATCTACATTTAATGCCACTAAATGTATGTTCATTCATCGTAGATGAATCCTAGAAGACATCTCCTGAATCAATCAAAACATTAATATTTTCACTATGACAGATCTTCAAATATTTTAAGACAGTCATTTCTTATCCTTTTAGTATTTTGTTCTCCAATGTAAATAGCACCAATTCTTTCAAGCAGTTCTCAGACGACAAGATTTTTATTACTCCATTCATCCTGATAGCTCCCCTCAAGACATATCTTGGTATGTTAATGCCTCTATAAAGATTGCCCAGATTGCATACTGTGTTTCTTCAGGTGTGTTTACAATTATATATGTACACTGGAACTATTGCACCTCTTGACATATAAACTATAGTTTTTTTTAATAACTTAAAGAAACATCATAAATGTACATTTACTTGTCTAGCGTGGCAAGGATAATGCTCAGTTTTGTAGAGACATTTAAAATGGAATACCATTCATACCTTATATATATGTGTGTGTGTGTGTGTGTGTGTGTGTGTGTGTGAATATAATATACTTGTATATGTGTACACTTACCATTTTTAGAGAACAATTTGGAAATAGCTTTTAAGAGAAATGAAAATAGTTGTGACATTTTGCCAAGTAACACCATTCCTGATAATTGATTTTATAGGGATAATTTTAAAAAGAATAACCCTTCTGCCATTGCCTGAGCTTGAACAGTTTTGTCTCTGTCCTGGGGAATTGTTCGTTTCATCTGCAATCTCTTCCTTGTTAGTCTGTCCACTGCTTCATTCCCAGACATGTTATTCTAAGTCCCAATTTAGTCATTTCACCTTTCTACTTCAAAACCCTCCGTGGTTCCCCATCAATTGCAAAGTCAAATTTCCTAACTCGATTTCCATGGCCTTTCACAGTCTGGATCCTGCCTGTTTCCATATCCATCTCTTATTACGGCCCAACTACCCCTCCAGGCTTCAGTCATACGGTGGGTGGGTGGGTCTTATACCTCCAGCTCTGACTTTTTAGAGGATGCAGGAAGGGGACTTGAGAAGAGTGAGAAGAGGATCATAATCAGTATTATCTGGAAGTTTTTCAAGCTGTACAGGTCCCTCTCCCATTTCTCAGAAATACTCATATCCCCCAACCAGAGGTGGTGACCTCTTGTTGAGCGTCATGACAGTGATAAGCCATTGTTCACAGAGAGTGTCATGTCCTTTGGTTGAATTAAAATAGATAAAAGATGGAGCAGCACTGCTCTCCCTTTCTGTGTACCGTGTAAAATCCAAATCTCTTCAGAATTCTGTTCAAATATTACCTTTTCTCTGAAACTGTCTGTCTTCTATCACCAGGGGTTCCATACACATTGTATTCAGTTGAGCTATATCGGACAGCTATTATTTGGTCATTTTTAGCCCTCAGGACACTCAGTGTAATATGGTTCAATCTACTAGCAGATCTCTGAGCACATCTCTCACTGCATTTAATTCCTTGTTTATAAATTAGTCTGTCTCCCACTTTGTTACCTCTGGAGCATAGAAAACACATTGTATTCCTGATAGCCCGCACTATTACCTGGTATGTAGTAAGTGCTTGATAAATGAGTATTGGATGAAATGATGATTAATTAAAAAAATATAGCTGAATACTCAATGGTAGAAGTAATATGACATTTTATAATCATCAAAATTAGTTCAGTATTGAGACCATGAGCAAACATACAGTAATACTTGTATAACAACAGGATTAAAACATAAGAAGATGGTTTATGCAAGTAGACAAAGTTTGAAAAAAGCATGAAATGTTAAGATAAGTGATGAGATTATGATCAATTTTATAATTGAGAAATTATGTTCTTTTAATTTAATATTTTTTTTAAAAAATTCATTTTAAGTTTCAGTTAAATACAGTTGGGGTTTCCCTGGTGCCTCAGATGGTAAAGAATCTGCCTGCAATGTGGGAGACCTGGGTTTGATCCCTGGATTGGGAAGATCTCCTGGAGAAGGGAATGGCAGCCCACTTCAGGATTCTTGCCAGGAGAATTCCATGGACAGAGGAGCCTGTCAGGCTACAGTCCATGGGCAAAGAGTCGGACATGACTGAGCGACTAACACTTTCACTTTTAAATACAGGGTAGGCATGTGTCATACCATTGCTTACTGTTGAGGGCCTAGAATGTTATGTCTTTACATCTCCTTACATTTTTGTCATGCAGGTGTGTTATAGATGATCAACAACTGTTTGTTAAACAAATGGAAAATTTAAGTGCCCAAAAGTTTAGGTAAGGGAAGAATAGCTAGAAAGTATTTGTTATGGGATTCCAATGAATCAAAGCTAGACTTGCTTCAGTTGCATTTAGAAGAAGCACTGGTGAAACAATTAAAAATGGTTCCACTGCTGTTGGAGGTCCAACTCCCTCAGATCCTGCACTTGTGTCCTAAAGGTGGTGATGAGGTCAAGCTTCCTGGGAGAGTTTAACTAAACCACAGGAGGGATCTACCAGAGAAAAGATAGCACGTTCTTATTAGTTTTACTTTTTTCCTTTTCTCCTTTTGTGCAGTGGGTAAAACTATCAAAGGAATAAAAGCAGGTGTGTCCATGCCTGGAATTTTCATCTCTTTCACTGTGGTCAGTGTGGAGTTTTCACTGAAGCCCAGGGAGGCTGACAAATCACATTTCTGAGCCACGGTTGTGAGCCCTGTTTCTCATAAGCAGGACCTTGAAGCACTTGGGTCTGAGCACAGGCTATGGAATGTTTTTTCTAGGAGAAAACATTTCTTCTTATTTTTCTTTCCCTTCTTGCATTTTACTTATTTTTCTATCCCAGTTTTCTCCTCTGTGAATCATGCAGAAATTCATATGCACTGAACTGGAGGAGAGACTATTCTAAAAGGAGAAATGGTTAAGCCAAGAGCTCCTATTCTGGTTTGGAGTTTATTGCTTGTTTGCCTTTGGACAGTGGTCTCTTGTGGGGACACAAACTAGAGAGATTGTTAAAGCTCATGGGTCCCAATGTGATGCTTTGACCTAATTAGTTTATTTTCACTGCTGTGTAAAAAGATCTTAGAGAAAAAAATAGACCTTTCCAGGTGTGAGCTATTACCCTGAAATAGCATTTCCCACCTGCGTTCATCTGCGATCATTGTCCATTAGTAGATGTCAGAGGACACATTGTCTTCCAGTTAAAACTCACAGGAGTGGCAGACTTTAAGAAAAAAGAAATGAGATGTATTTGCATCATAGGAAACTATTGACATCAAATCTGTAGGAAGAAAACATGAATAATATAGTGAATGTTGAAATTCATATATATAGACAATAAATTTTAGACTGTCTACCTTCCCATTCCTTATAGTTTGCATTATGTTTTCAAAAGCTAGTGTTTCTTAAACTTTGGAAGTAACTGGATATACAAGAAGGACATCATCTCATTTTTACAGGAAACAGTATGAAGCACAAGGTAATGGTGGTTGTCACAAATGGAGAACCTTGGTAAAAAATGAATTGTTCATTCATACAATTTAGAACCAATCTAACCTTAGGCTGAACATTAGTAATGATAATAATATTAATAACAACAACAGAATTCAGGATAAATATAAATAATTAAATTGAACTATAGTTCCTTCTGGAATATATAACCCTTGTGTATACATTATGGCTAGCCTCAGTGGAATTCATCATCTCTACCCTTTCCCATTTTTCCCTTTCTCAATGAAGTATGTTGGTTCCACATTTGGGCAATGGAAGTGTTTTCTCAGCTTTCCTTAGCAGACTTTGCTGCCCCATGAAGGTGCTGTGTGCTATATTAAGGAAAATTAAGATCCAGAATTTAGATCCACAGCCGTGTGACACTTGGTCTAACCAGATGGAAATGTTGGGAAATTGGACTTAGAGTATGAGGGCTGAAATGTTGATCATAATAATTTAAAATATGACTACAGACTTGAGAATTACAGAGCTTAAAAGGAAAAGAGACACACAATTGGTAAAAGAAGGGAAGACCGTCAGACTTTATTATACTTCTCAGATGGATAAACTATTGTTGTTATATATAAAAAGATTACATTATTTCCAGTCAAAATTGGCTGTCATCACTGTTGACAAGCTTAAGGGGAGGACAAAAAAACAAGTAGAGAGGAAACCCAGGGTTGAGTACACAAATATTCTCATGGTAGATATTAACATGTACAGTGATTCTGGAACAAAGGGCAGTCTATAAATAAAATAATGATATGTAGTTTAGTTAGGAAATATAGAGTAGGAGATAATAAAATAATTAGGTAGATTATGTTAATACAATAATTAGAATGCAATATTTGATTAGTAAGAGTTGTCCTATGAGTCATTTATTGTCTTGTAACAGAAAGAAATCTCAGTGTATAAGCTCAGGTGCTCAAGTATGCAAGAAAGAGTTTTCTGTATTTTTCTCTAGCTGAACTTAATTTGTATTCTGGGCCCCCGTTCCATCAAGTGGCAGAAACTCAATCTCAATCAGCTTTCACCGACTCTCCTCCAGGACTGTGTCTACGAATTGCCAGGTGGGGGGCCATCTGGCCTCCGCGTCATCAGCAATCCCTGCTGGCAGCCGCTGAGATGTCCTTCTTCCAGTCCGCTCTGTGGTCACTGGTCCTTGCAGGTTGCCACTGCAGCCTCCTTGTCCTCATTCCAAGGACACATTCAGTCTGCTGGCTCTCTGCATTTTTCACTGGAGAAATTTTGCTTCTCCTGTCCTGCCCTAGGCTAAGGACAACTCTGTGAGCTGCTCTTAGCCTACATGCCTACTCAAGTCTTTCTTTTAGAGAGCCCTGATTCATTTGAAGTTTTTGTCATTTTTCTCCCAACACTGGATTTATTTCGTGGGCATCGATAAAGCAAACATCCTTTCTCAGCGATGTCTCAGTGATGTGTAGACTCTTCTTTTTTGCCTCTCACTTTCATTTTCTTCCTAGCCTATGGAATTTTGCCGTGGAGAGGGAGCTAACATGGGAAGAACAGCTTTTATCTACATATTCTGCAGTCTTCCAAATTGTTTGGGTTTTGAAACTCAAAATTCTATGGCTATATTTTATCTCATTTTATTTCTAGCATGTTGGTCACTAACTGATACAATGAGAATGAAATATTCTAACTACCTGAGTTAGGGGAAGGAGCATAAGATAAAAAAAAAACAAATACCAAAAAGAAAAGTCAAGTGGGTAATATGATAATATTCTAACCTTCTAGAGCTAATTTTCAAGTAATCAGATAAAATTAATTAAACCTGTATTATGTATTTACATATATGCTACTGAACAGTATAGTAATTCGTTTCACCTGTTTCTTATCAGATACTGAATAATACACAGAATATTGTTTCTAGATTTGAAACTGTTGGTTTTCTGTACTAACCATTGGAAACAAACTGAAGCCATCACATTAGACTGCAAGTCTGTGTTGTCAGATTCTGAATGGCTAACAAATTTGATCCAACTTTATCCAATAATAAAGTTTGGAGTGCCTTTAGGGATACATGCCTCTTAGATAATATTTCCTAGAAATCACTTCTCTGACTTGATGAATTAGAATTTGAAGAGTAGGGATTATGGATTGTGCTATACAGTGAAAGTCTGGAAGATTTGACTTTGAATGACCATAAAAGGTAGGGTGTTTATTTTGGAAGTCAGATGAGCAGCTTGGCAAGTTATATGAAGCTGAAGGGACTTTAGAGAGGACCAGTCCACCTCCAATCAAAAGTGTCCACAGGCAGCCTCATTTTCTCCAGGAACAATTTAGGATTTGTGGCATCAGGGGTCAAGTGCTTAATTTAGTACCCACAATCTTATAGATATTAGCAATACGTGAAAAATTCAATCTAGATGTTATCATGAGTTGGTCATAATGGTGGAACAATTTCCTTATGCTCTCCTGGAACATCTTATGCTCAGTGGTAGTATTCTTAGTATATCCACTTGATAACAATGTGTTCAATTTCAGTCAGTTCAGTTGCTTAGCCATGTACGAATGTTTGCGATCCCATGGACTGCAGCACGCCAGGCTTTCCTGTCCATTACCAGCTCCAGGAGCTTGCTTGGCCTCAGGTCCTTCAAGTTGGTGATGCCATACAACCATCTCATCCTCTGTCGTCCTCTTCTCCTGTCTTCAATCTTTCCTAGCATTAGGGTCTTTTCCAGTGAGTCAGTTCTTCATATCAGGTGGCCAAAGTATTGGAGCTTCAGCTTCAGCATCAGTCCTTCCGATGAATATTCAGGACTAGTTTCTTTTAGGATTGACTGGTTTAATCATCTTGCTGTCTAAGGGACTCTCAAGAGTCTTCTCCAACATCACAATTCAAAAGCATTAATTCTTTAGCACTCAATTTTCCTTAAGGTCCAGCTCTCACATCCATATATGACTACTGGAAAAACCATACCTTTGAAAATATGGACCTTTGCCAATAAAGTAATGTCTCTGCTTTTTAATATGCTGTCTAGGTTTGTCATAGCTTTTCTTCCAAAGAGCAAGTATCTTTTAATTTCATGGCTGCTGTCACCATCTACAGTGATTTTGGAGCCCCAAAAAATAAAGTCTGTGACTATTTCCATTGTTTCCCCATCTATTTGCCATGAAGTGATGGGACCGGATGCCATGATCTTTGTTTTTTGAATGTTGAGTTTTAAGCTAGCTTTTTCACTCTCCTCTTTCACTTTCATAAAGAGGCTCTTAAGTTCTTTGTCACTTTCTACCATAAGGGTAGTGTCATCTGCATATCTGAGATTATTGATATTTCTCCCAGAAATCTTGATTTCAGCTTGTGCTTCATCCAGCCTGGCATTTTACATAATGTTCAGTTCAATTCAGTTCAGTCACTCAGTCATGTCCGATTCTTTGCAACCCCATGGACTGCAGCACACCAGCCTTTCCTGTCCATCACCAACTCCTGAAGCTTGCTCAAACACATGTCTATCAAGTCAGTGATGCCATCCAACCATCTCCTCTCTTGTCCCCTTCTCTTCCTGCCTTCAATCTTTCTCAGCATCAGAGTCTTTTCCAGTGAGTCAGTTCTTCACATCACGTGGCCAAAGTATTGGAGTTTCAGCTTCTGCATCAGTCCTTCCAATGATATACTCTGCACATAAGTTAAATAAGCAGGGTGACAATATGGTCTTGACGTACTCCTTTCCCAATTTGGAACCAGTTCATTGTTCCACATCTGGTTCTAACTGTTGCTTCTTGACCTGCATACAGATTTCTCAGGAGGCAGGTAGGGTGGTCTGGTCTTCCCACCTCTTGAAGAATTTTCCAGTTTGTTGTGATCCACACTGTCAAAGGCTTTAGCGTGGTCAATGAAGAAGTAGATGTTTTTCTGGAATTCTCTTGTTTTTTCTATGATCCAACAGATGTTGGCAGTTTGATATCTGGTTTCTATGTCTTTTCTAAATCCACCTTGAACATCTGGAAGTTCACGGTGCATGTACTGTTGAAGCCTCGGCCTAGCTTGGAGAATTTTGAGCATTACTTTGCCAGCATGTGAGATGAGTACAGCTGTGTGGCAGTTTGAACATTCTTTGGCATTGCCTTTCTTTGGAATTGGAATGAAAACTGACCTTTTTCAGTCCTGTGGCTACTGCTGAGTTTTCCAAATTTGCTGGCATATTGATTGAGTGCAGCACTTTCACAGCATCATCTTTTAGGATTTGAAATAGCTCAGCTGGAATTCCATCACTTCCACTAGCTTTGTTTGTAGTGATGCTTCCT